CTTCTTTTATATGCAGAGTTTAAGACTTAACGCGTGGATTTCCATTGCTTCTGTGGTTTGAAGAAGTTTGATTTTCTATTCTTTTAGCAGGATTCCCGCATTATATGTACATGACTTTGAACTTAATTTTGTGGGTTTACTTCTTGACCTATTTCGATCAAGTGTCCAAGATTAGAGCTTCGACAGGACTTAATTTCTTCTTTTTTTAAATCATGAGAGTAACTGTTCAATGTTACGTTTGAATAGCGAACGCTGGTTACAGCCAATATACCCAGCAGGCGAAAAGGTAGATGTACACTGACGAGGTAAGTCAATAGTTTCGTTGGGATAGCCGGTTTCTCAGTATTTCTGCCGATGACTGTCCACTAAATCGTATATTCAGGTACTGAAATTTTTTGGAAGCTTAAATTGTGGGCGGCTTTGTTGGTTTTGGTTTCATAGATTTTGTGATGAAATGTTTTGAGTGACTATTTCCGAGAAGGATTCTTTTCAGAGTGTTAAGCTCCTGAGCCATAGTATCAAGGGTACCCAATTGTGAAGGTTAATAATTTGTCCGTTCCATGTTGGCTCTCTGTAGATGAATCTTTTTAATGTTCCACCTTGCTCACGTCTTATTAACTGGACGTCCACAAATAATAATTATTTTTAATTTCCTTTATTAATTCATTCATTTATTCCCGTTTTAATGAATTTCAACAAAGCAAGAACTACAGTTTTAGCAGAATAAAGTGGTACCATCTTTTATTTCGCAGCATTCTCGTCAGCCGCTTTCAGGGCAAAGACATTATGAAATATATCTACAAAAAAAATTTTAACATACTTGCACAGAGTTCATTTTAAACAAAAACCAATCAATCTATCAATATATGCATACAGAAATTATATATATATATATAATTTTAAACACTATTCTGAGCAATAATAATCATACACAATGGAAACTTTTCAGCATTTCGCATTCAGATGAAAGAAAAATGAAAATATCTTGTTACCAGAGCTACAAAGGACTGATAACTTTCTTTCTGGAAGCACAAATCAGGTTTTAGGGGCTTGATGGAAATGGCTTCAGCAAACCTGAGGAGAATTGAGTTCATTTGCCTATCTATAATTTTGAACGATTTTGCAACGTCCAACTCATGACCCATGTCAAGGATATGGCTAGCGATGACACAGTTTAAAGCATTTGTTCCCTTTAGACATATGTTTTTCGGTACGTGATCAGAAAATCGTACATATCCCCTTCTTTCTGTCCTTCCAATGTAACTACTCGCGCAGATACATGTAAATTTGTATATACAGTTGGAGTTAACATGAGAAGGATATCTATCGATTTTCGATTGCACCAAAGAGCGACTTGTTCGATAGATGGGAAAGAGCTTAGCCGCAGAAATACTTGGTGATCTGAAGACTTATTAGATAACCCTTACGTACTTCAAATGATGGATGCTGAGTGTAATTCCCATTAGAAACACCATCACGTAATTTAGATGCAAGTTTGGTACAGTTGGCGAGTCTCATGTAGGATGCAATAGACATCCTGGATCCCACCACTAGTCACCATCTACCAAAATAATAACGTGTCGATATTCAGATACCATCGAAGCATCCATATTAGCCACAAGCAACATATCATCAGAGACTGAGCATTTCAGCTCGACATAACTAATAAAACAAGTGATACAAATTAACTTGAACAATTCAAATGAACTGTCGTCAAGATTTGACAGAATAGTTTTAAAATATTTGAGCGCAGATTGAGAAGTAGAAGCTGTCGAGTCACCTGACAACTTCAGTAGGTCGAATAAAGCAGCTCAATCTTCAGAAAGAAGACAAAGTAATAAGTTTGACAGAGTGCTTCAACTAAACTCTATTCCTAAACACCATAATTTTGACAATACGTCCAATCATAAAATTCTAGATACTAACAGTGTGAACAGACGTGAAGGTGTGATGTTAGCTGATGCATAGGAAATCCTGATTAAAAAATAAAGAACAATGGATATGTATCACGAATTAATAATACTTGGTTCGAATTCCCCATTGTCTATATCTTTTTATGGAGACGTTAACAAATGTCTGACAACCGTTTGTCCACACACGCATGCACACTCTGTTTAAAGTGTTTAACGAAGGTAGACCAATATTTGTAGGTCTGAGGTCAAATTTTGATCACAGCTCATACAATTTTGTTTATTATGCTTGTTGACACTTGTTTAATGACTCATGATTGGACAAAGTTTTTAAAAACAAGAGATTTTCCTTTTATATATTAACCCGTGTTACGTTAATTTCGATTTATTTCCCTGTAGAAGTTCGGATCCGATTGCCGAACGAAATGTTGGGATTGTTCATTTCAATCTCTCTGAGATTTCACAAATATAATTTTTTTTAATATCTAACTTGAACAATAATAACTGATTTACATAAAGCAATAAGAAGACGTAATTTGTCTGAATCGTGTGCTGTATGTATTTGCGCAACACATTTCGAACAATCTGATCACACACAGACGAGTGAGGATATAGGCCGACACCAGGTGTTATCGCGCAATGCCATCGGTTACCGCGCTCACGTCAACAGACGCTATAATCACCTATTTTTTTGGAAATAGATTATATTTGACTAGTTTTAGACTTCTGTAGCCGGATGGCAGTATTTTGCTGTATTTTGTTCTTAGTAGAGCGTAAAATTGTATATTATAGCTCGGACGAATTATCAATGAAGAAGTCATCCTTTTTAAGAAAGTTCGCATAGAAAGACTATTATTTGCATTATAGTGCGTTGAGGGTTTGTTTTTTTGCGAGTTGTTTCAGATCTTAAGGTGGTAAATATACTGCAGTCAATGGCTGTTGTCATTCCAGTGAATCTATTAGAATCTGGCCTATGAAAGAGAAATAGCATGCAGGCATAGGTTAGATGTGTGCTTTGAACATGTTAAACTTTTCTGTTATCATCCGTGATGACAATGGATAACTCATAACACATCGGCGACATTATGCGATGAATGAGATAGGCTGCTGAATTTCCTGGTGATTATATCTATTTTGATGAAGTTCCTAGTTAAAAGTGCTTGGGCGAAGATGTAAAAATAGTTTAATTGACATTTACACATGAAATTTCACAAGGCCTTCATTGCTCAGTGCATGAAATGGCATCAGAGTATATTGACATCAGTGTTCATTGCGTCTGGAAGAATAGTATAAATAGTCCTTCTCAAATGTCAGAGTACTTAAAATTAGTACCAGATTTCTGTCGATTAGTAGCTAGCGGCTGTGTCGTACAACTACTACACCTGTTACATAGGTTATATCAATCTTAAAAATTATTTTGCTTCACATCACTAAGATAATCTGAGATCCTTAATGACTTAATTGTGGCTATGAAATATGTAGAAGATGCACTTATGGCTGATATATTTAAAGCAGTTATTATTAAACAAGTTATCTGTAAGCAACTTGTGATGTTCTGAATACTGCAGACTGTTGATAAGAAACTGCATCAAAGGAAAAAATGCTGAACAGCTAGAAAATACTACTGCAGTTTCGTTGGTTGTTACCTTTTGCATTTGTAAGTCATCCTTTCAAAGCTGCGATTGACGCCAAACCATCCATGGCACCCCACAGGCTCTATAGAAATTTGTGAGAGATCTTACATGTCAGGTTGTCTTCCAAATTGTAAGGTTGCAGATAGTTCAATTTACCTCTCATTGAAATATCACTTATCTACTTCACTATGGTCTTTTCATTTGTGCACTATTACACTTCATTTTATGTTAACTGGATATGCCTTTATTAAAGCTGAGACTTACTCTTTGTGCCTATTAGTTGCTTGCTTACAGTCTATTTGCTTTTATTAGAAACACAACAACACCAGTGTTGGAACAAAGCTGTATTTTCATGGAAAACGTCATATTTTCTATGTTTACACCAATATGATTGGCATTAAACATTGCAAATGTATACTCACATTCCAAGGACATAGTACTTAACCAAATGTACGGTGAAAAAAAAAAAAAAAAAAAAAAAAAAAAAAAAAAAAAAAAAAAAAAAAAAAAAAAAAAAAAAAAAAAAAAAAAAAAAAAAAAAAAAAAAAAAAAAAAAAAAAAAAAAAAAAAAAAAAAAAAAAAAAAAAAAAAAAAAAAAAAAAAAAAAAAAAAAAAAAAAAAAAAAAAAAAAAAAAAAGCAGTGAAAACCCCAGAAGAATGATGTCATTACCAAAGAATGAGAAAGGAGAATAAACCATTTTCAGCAAAGGTAGGCAGATATAAATCGTTTACCTTTAATATTACTTCTTCCTTACTTCAGCTATTTAAAAAACACTTTGTTTACTTATTTGTAGATATCTGGTAACGTCAATCACCCCAGTCACAGAGATTCGACATTGCACAAATTATTCCGACAATCGACTGCGTAAACACATTTGCTTGTTATTATTTTTTCATTAAATACATTTAATATCCTGCTTACCAGACCTTTCTTATTATATCTGAGTTTAGATGTATTTGTCATGATGACTAGGTGCAGACATGACTTATTAATAAGAACTGACGAAGTAATTGGTGGCATATTTTAGTGTAAGCTAAATCTAAATACGATTGTTAAAGCTCAACGAATTCAATAATTCGTCTGGTGTAGACTTTAATTTACGCTACATGTCAACAGCCTTAGTCATATGGATTGACATCACGCTTTAAGTGAAACATTAGTAATGCAATACTTTCGAATACACGTAACCGTATAAGAACTGGGACTCGAATGCAGTGCCTAAGTTATGCCTACTATTGTCCCTAAAGACTTGTATATGACTATGATACGTATGCACGTTAGCTAACTGAAATACTTATAATTTAACACGTATGCTGACCGACATCGTTCCTACACAATTACACTTACGTATTGTTAGTAGTGAAAGTCCTAGAGAGCACCGGTCTAGCATGCCGTGCTCACAAAGTGAACACATGAATTGAAAGACAACAAAATTTACATGAAAATTTTATTTTCATTATGACAAAAATTTAGTTTATTTACATATTAAGAACACGATTGATTCCTGCGATTACTCCGTCTGCATAAGCATTGGCAAACACTTCTCCAAATTTGTCATTAATTCTGTCCATACCCGCATTGATAATCTTCTTTTTGGTATCGTATATGTCACTTCGATTTCGAGGGATAACTGCTGACGTACTTTGAGATGCGAACAAGTTGCGTGACCACGTCCATTGTTTACAATTATGCATCACATGGTTAACTACAAAAGGTGGAACAAAAAAAGTTAAGATAACTATGAACTGATTATTACATTACATTATACATTAAAAACGTAGTCATAAAAACGCAAATATACCTGTGAAATACGGCTTTCTGAAGTGGACCAAAAGCAAGTGTCGGCAGGGGTACCGACAGGTCTGAAATGTAAAGCACGTGCAGGTGCAAGCACTCAGATCAACCTGCACTGTATTCCCATTTTCTTTGAAGAATACATAATCAAAGGATTCGAACTCAACAGTAGCCCATCGTCGCAATTGGTATTCACGTATTACCTTCCTCGCGGCGTATGGTGTAAGCAACCGTATAATTGGGATTAAACTTTGTGAACAGGGATACGTGAAGCATCGTGATTGAGCAATATTCGCCTCCTGCTGTATTATTGAAAAACTTCGTTTATGCCATTTATACACCTTTAGCATACTTTTATGCAGACTATCAGATCTTTGCAAAAACCGTTTCATCTGCTTGTGGGAACTCTCGACACGATTATTTGTATCGTTCCCAAAAGTCAGCACGTTATCTCTGAAACAGGCCGCCCACAATTCTCGTCGATGCATCCAACGACGTTGTAGATATTGACTGACATTAGCATCCAATCTGCTAATAACTCTGAAGTAGAAATTAAATCTGCAAAATGAGAACAATAGAGGCATTACTCTGATCTCCTTTTACACTGCACTAGACGGCATAAGTAGTTCTTCACAATGGGATTTCTTGTCTACGAATAAAATGTAAAGTATGCTTTGAAAAACTTACTTTCCGACAGAAAGCTCGGCAAACATGGAAAGAACACAAAACAATGTGCGCTTGTCTGTGCGTTAACTTGACGGCTGCTATTTCAGCTTGCGCACAATCCATAATGAAGGATTCTGTTTTGGAGGTGTCTTCCATTATTTGCCGGAAACAGTCTAATATCCAAACTACATCTCGTTTGAATTCTTTTCTAGTCCACGCAAATAAAACTGGTCGTCCACGACCAAAATTATCCGTCACAAGTAGCTGGAACAAAGAATACCTGCACGTTGATTAATGAATTGGTAAACTTACTTCCCCTTATTTGTATTATACGTCGAGTCGATACCAACAACTTCAGGGAACTGTTTATACAATTCCATTTGCTCATAAGTTGCAAAACAAATTCTTGTTAGTGAATTCCTGATCGGTTCATCGGAATAATACTCCATTAACTTCCCACGGGATTTTAGGAATTCAAAAATGTCACGACGACTCGAAATACCTTAAGTATGTAACAAGTACGTCAACGTTACCTTTATTCACTGCGGCTTTCATATTTTTAACGTCAATGCGAGTTATATCCTTGTTGTACTTCTCCTTAACATGCATTATTATTTCATCGGATGAGTGGGATTGCTGAAGAAGTGGTTCAATATTTTCTTTCTCTTCAACTGTTAGTCGTCTATACCATGGGTCATTCTGCATGTACACCCTGCTGCATGGATGGTTATGCACCATATTGTGGGAAGCAATTATGTATTCACTATAATGCAAAACCACGCGAAATGAAGACGAGCAATTGCAACATTTAGACCTGCAATATTCATGAAATCATATTACACTTCTTCTTACGACTTGTTTTTCAATTTCAATCCAGGTCTTGTACGATTCACTCCAAAAGTGCATTTAAAACCAACATAAGCGTACTTAAACCTGGCATCCGGTATCGTTTTGCTGCAATTATGAACATAGTGAGTGTAGGATAACTACACTGTTAGCATTAAATGACTTCCTCACTTTTTGAAATTCTGCTAATGACTTCTCAAATTCATCCCAGCTGAAGAAACGCTTTCCAAGTATGTATTCAGCAAAAATTCCACTTAAATCTGTGCTCCTGTCACTCGAATTGACTACCTGCAACGGACTAAAATAAAGTTATCAATTAGGATCCATCTATGTCACAACTATTCCAACATAAATCGTAAAAAAACAACATTGAAATACAGGGATGATCGATAACCATCAAGAAAATACCGCACGTATAACCTAAATTACAGAAAAACACAAGAACCCACCGGTTCGTTGACATCGCAAGCAACCAATAGACCAAACAACGAATTGTACGACAAATAATGCCTAGTACATGCACAAACAAAGAAAAACAAAGCGTTACAATAGTTTAATACACGTTTACAGTAATCACATATGCTGGCAAACGACGCAAACACAACCACGCAAATACAGCACCCGACAGCACGCACCCAAGGACAATTCAAACTCCAATTGACCGCCACCATTCTAGCCAATGAAAGACGAAAAAAAATTAGTCGCGGAAAATATAACACGAAACCACGTATATACTCACCCCACACGGACTTGTCATAGAAATATATATGAAATTAATAAAGAGGTAAGAGGTGAGAAAGTAGACTTACGTCAAGTTAAAAGGACATATTCAAGGTCAAAATAACAATGAAGACCACTAAACCAAATAGAAGAGGTAATAGTACATCTACCATGACTGGTATCAAAACAAGATTTACCAAAGAAGGTTTAATGTGATGACGAATTGTTTTTTAACGCATAAAGGTGGCTTGAACTTTCTAATTGCTAGGGCTTCCACAAACTTTCGGATACGCCCCAAACACGTTTTATAGATAGGTTTAAAAGATATGTTAACATCAATTTTATGTTCTGTCTCCATAATATCTTTCGCAATAGAAGAGCTAGGTCTCCTATTCTCACCGTTAATAGGTTCTGAAGAATCCATTTGTTTCTGAAGCCCTTACTTGCAGAGATAGATGAGTTCTCCCTATGTATGTGTGTGTCCACACGTACATTCAAATTGGTAAACACAGTGGGACGTTACATCATTTTTCGCATGTTCGAAGGGCTTAGATAGACATAATGGCCTACATTCTCTATTATTATGATATTAACTGCATAAAACGTCTTTTTAACAGCAGAGTTCAGTCTTTGTCTAGTTATCAAGCTGGTATGATGTCCCATATAGGGCAGCTTGATGTACACGTCTTTCTTAGGTGTGAGTTGGAGAGTGCGTCCTGATGTTCTGACCACTTTATATCTCCTGATGAACTAGTCTGGATAATTGTTATCAACCAGAGTTTGTGTGAACTTTCTTTCTTCTTCATCAAGCGTGTCTTCAGTGCATATTCGTTGGATCTCACTGAAGAGGCACCTTACTAAAGCTCTTTTGTACCGAGCAGGGCAGAAACTGTGGTAATTAAGATACTGTCCTGTCCAGGTATGTTTTCTATAAATAGATCTTTTTATTGACCCATCAAGCCGTCGACTGATTCACAGCTATGTATCTTTACTGGTCTTATTACCAGTCTAGTGAGGTATAGGAGTGCGCTGGTCAGGATTCGAACCCGAAACCATATGCGTGTTTGACACGCAATCTATTGATGAACTACCGACTCACATTCTGGTAAATAGCACTGACTAAGATAAACTGAAACAATCGCATTTTGGAGTACAATTCCTGTTTTATTTCACAACTAATCAGCCTTTAGATTTCACCTTAAGGTTTCCGCATAAGTAAATCACTGATTAAGTAAAACTAAGTTTCAACTGAAATAAATAATAATATACTTTTTTTTATTTAACTTTAGCGTATCCTTAATCCTCTCAAAGTGAGTGAGTGAGTTAGTTAGTTAGTTATTTAATTTCCCAAGATATCTAGTATCTTAAAATGATGAATATATATCTATTTATAAATATATATAAATATGTATATATTGTATGTATATGCATGCAAAAGATGCAATCTCTGTGTTGTAAAGGATATGAGAATTACAGACACGATATTTTCAGGTACCTAAAGTTTTCCAGTCTTCAAAATTACTCCTTCCCTTTTTTCCCCTCCTCTAACTTCATTCAATCTACTGATTCTGCACTGATTAAAACTTTCTGACCAAACTGCTGGTTAGATAGAAAGTCTTGCTTCATCCATATTAGATATGCAATAGTATGCATATATATATTCTACCAGAATGCCTAAATTCTCCACTTACATTCATCTCACTTATTTCCACTTCTTCTTCTTGATAACGCGAAATTTATTTGAATGATGAATTTATCAGAGATCTTGAGAGAAGGAGTCTTTTCAAAACTTTTGTTAGTTTTATATTTTTTCACCTGTAAGTTAGATTTTTTGTTTGACGTGATTTTATTGATCATAGAGACATAAACAAACCTTCTTTTTTCTTATCTACAATCTTGAGAAGGCGAACTACTGTCATCCCAGTTTCAATTTGCTTATTTTTTTTCCTTCTGTGCTTTAAAATTTGTCTAACGAGTGGATTGATTTTCCAGGATAGGGCTTTCCTAGATTTTGTGAATAGCCTTGCCTAGCTACCTTGAACTTATGACCGACCACCTGATGGTAAACTATACGCCAATCAGCATAAGGCAGGAGATTCAGGTTTTCAATACGAATATGTGAGGTGTCATCAAACGCATTTTCAACAGTCCACCCGGAGACTTTCATTAACAGCCAGATGCCTTTCGCTGCTTTGATACTAAAGATTAGATGGCTGACCAGACAGGTGGAGTAATAAATAACTCTAGCAATAAACCAATCAAGTACATATTATTCCATAGAAATGTGCTTAAGGAAATGGAGATAGGTCGGACACTCGCTGAGTGATATTGCTCATCATGCCATCGTTATAGCGGAACCCAAACGGGAAACGACTGCGTGGGCAATCGTGGGGCGATCAAAAGAGGACTGAAGGTGTGGTGAGAGCAGGCCGTGAGAAAATATGAGCAAGGCTGATTCAACAACCAATCACAGCAAAGTTAACGTGGCAAAATATGATTCGCAGATAGAGAACTCTATTTGTCGAGGAATCCCGAAACGACCAATCAGAAGCCTGCGTTTGTCCGCCTAACTTCTGATAAACAACCAATCAGATGACTGCGCTTGTCTACTTGCATAAGCTATAATGATGTATGTGAAATATGTATAAATACGTGTTAATTTTCATAATAAAACGATCTGTTGCCTGGCCCTTGTCTTCTGTTGTTACAAAGGAAATAGAGTAAAACATGGAAATAATTATACTAATGATAATAATTTACTTTATTCCCAAAACAGTACTTATAATACAGAATGGAATTCTCAGCATTTGTCACAAGACTTTGCATCTGATTTACTCAAAACACAAATAAAATCAAAAATTACAACAAAAGCAACCAGAGGAATTTGTCCACATTTACGATAGAAAGTCAAAAATATTCGAAGCACGAATTGAGAGTATTAAATATAATATTAATAATAACAGTTTGTTTCCAACAGTACTGGCGATTCAGTTTCCCAACTTAAGCATGTCACAGATTATTGAATCTAATGTTCTGTTGATATAGTATAGTGAGGGGATATACAAAATTAACAGTCTTAACACAGCTTAAATGATCTTCACACTTATGAAAGAAATAAACAAAGACGAAAAATTGAGACGATTATAAATATAAGAAATACAATAACAATAAAGTTTGGTACTCTAAGCGTAGAAGAAATGGTTTATTTAGTAGTGCAAAGAATGTTAGTTAGTTGACGCTTGACACTATTTTCATCACATAAAGTACGTGCCAAGCCTGGTATAGTAAAATTTGTATACTTAGACATAGGTGCATAAAGTCTTCTGAAAAGACTTCTTGTTTTACCTGAGGAGACACAAGGTTAGAGCTGAGGGTGCTGGTGTGGATGCTCACAGTCTGATAAAATTCCTTTAGCAAATTTGTTGCATGACATCAAGTGCCTATCAATGACAACGCCACCGATTTTGCTCAATAGGATAGCATACCTGTCGTCCTAGTGACAGTCTTCCGAGTTCTACGAAGTATGACATAGACTTTTTAAGCATTCCAGGAAAGAATAAGGTTGAACAGTACAGCAGAACAGGTAAAATACACGAGTTGACAAACTGTAAGAGGAGTAGTCGAGTTATGTCTGAGTGCCTTAACTTCTTAATATAAAAAGTCAGACGAAATATTCTTTTAGAAATCGCCAAGACATTGGAAGAGCATGATAGGTCAGAAGAAAGAATTAATCCAAGATACTTAACTTCAGACTTGGTTTCTATATCAGCATTATCAATTTTGCAAGGTTTATAGGAACCAACAGCTTCATTTAACTTTCCTTTACACCGGAAACTGAAATTAACAGTCTGATATTCGAAAGGATTTAGTTTAAGGACGTTACACGAAGACAATTCACTAATTCTTGATAAAAAGCTTTTCATTTTAGTACAGTCTAGCTGGAAGTTAACAGACATTGAAATAGTTATATCATCGGTATACTTAACAAAGTTCACTTCATCAGAGTGAGGCAAGTCATTCAAGAAGAAAGAAAACAGAAAAGCAGAAAGGACACCGCCTTGAAGGACACCAGCCTTAATAAGCAATCGATTGGACGACTTCCCATGACATACAGTGTTCTTCTTTCTTCGTGAGAAATAAGAATGCAGCCATTTGACAACCCGACAGTCAGTTTGAGTTTCAGCAAGCTTGTTTAACAAAATGTCTATAGGTACTGGGTCGAAAGCAGATGTGTAATCTAGGAAGGTGCAGCGAATAAATTTAGCCCCCTTGTCTAAGCTGGAGACAATGTTATGATACAAGACTGCAACTGCATCTAAAGTACTCTTGCTGTATTTACAAGCGAATTGTTTTAGGGTGGTTAAAGGTTTTAAGTGAACGTTGAAGATTAAGTAAGAGTAACTTTTCCATAGCTTTTAGAAAAGGGGAGGTAATAGCAATAGGTATAAATTTAAAACATGTTCCAGTAGACGGCTTAGGTATGGATACAATTTTATTGTCCTTCCAAATGGCTGGCACAACATTTTTGGAAAAAGATTCATTAAATATGTCCATGGAGTCGAAAGCAGATGTGTAATCTAGGAAGGTGCAGCTATTGAGGCCCTACGTTCCCATCGGAACCTAACGGATCAATAAATAATGAAATAATAATAATGCTGCATGAAGAATATCTATTCTTAAAAGTTCTCCTTACTTGTGATGACCACTTACTTAATTTTTATCAAACAACTTCATTTTTTCACTCACTCTTTTTTGATCTCGAACTTATCTATTCCTTTATTCTACTGAATTATCTACAAAATTATGCATTGAAGCACCGCAGGCTCCAAACAGCAGAGGCTATTGCAATTCGCCTCAAACAGCCAGCGCTCTGTATCCAAACTTACCTGGCGCCGGGTTCAGGGTGATCAAGAATGCTCTGACCCCGGGTGGAGGCTCACCATTGAACCTCGGTGGGTTGAAACTCGCAACGGACTCTAATCTGGCGCGCTCGGGCGTGTAGTTTTTGTCAGTGGGGGGCCT